TCTACTAAAAATACAAAAAATAGCTGGGCATGGTGGCACATACCTGTGGTCCCAGCTACTTGGGTGGCTGAGGCAGAAGAATCGCTTGAACTCAGGAGATGGAGGTTGCAGTGAACTGAGATTGCACCACTGCACTCCAGCCTGGCGACAGAGCAAGACTGTGACTCAAAAAAATAAAAATAAAATAATAAATAAATAAAAACCAAATGAGATATTTATGGAACAGTTTTGTATCTTGATTGCAATGGTCAGTACATGAATCTACATGTGATAAAATGGCATAGAGCCATATGCATATATTTCATTAATGTAAATTTCATGACTTGATATTGTACTTATAGCTATGGAAGATGTAGCTATGGGGGGAACTGAGTGAAGAGCACATAGGACTTCTCTGTGCTGAATGCAATTTCCTGTAAATGTAAAATTATTTTGAAATTAAAGGCTGTGTGAGGTGGCTTTGGCCAGGCGTGGTGGCTCACGCCCATAATCCCAGCACTTTGGGAGGCCAAGGCAGGCAGATAACTTGAGGTCAGGAGTTCAAGACCAGCTTGGCCAACATGGTACACCCCATCTCTACTAAAAATATAAAAATTAGCCAGGTGTGGTGGCACATGGCTGTAATCCCAGCTCCTCAGGAGGCTGAGGCAGAAGAATCACTTGAACCCAGGAGGCTGAGGCTGCAGTGAGCCCAGATCATGCCACTGCACTCCAGCCTGGGTGATAAAGTGAGACTCTGTCAAAAAAACAAAAACAAAAAACGGAAATTATTTCCTCACAGTTCTGGAAGTTCAAAGTCAGGAATCAACCTGTTGACAGGGTCATTTGAAGCCTCAAATGGAGGATTCCTTCATTGACTCCCCCTGTGTCTGGAGGCTACTGGCCATCCTGGTGTTATGAAAACACCAGTGGTTCGGTCTAGGGCCTGCTGCTCACCTCACAGAAAGCCAGTCACTGAGACAATGGTTATTGCCAAGGAAGAAGGCTCTACTCAGGTGCTGCCGCTGAGAGGAAGGGAGGGATTCATCCCAGGAATGCAAGGCGGTGGCTCAACATAAGAAAATCAATTAATGGCTGGTAGCCATGGGTCAAGCCTGTAATCTCAACACTTTGGGAGGCCGAGCTGGGTGGATAACGAGGTCAGGAGATTGCAACCATCCTGGCCAACATGATGAAACCCCGTCTCCACAAAAAGTACAAAAAATTAGCTAGAGGTGGTGTGCGCCTATAGTCCCAGCTATTGAGGCTGAGGCAAGGGAATCGACTGAACATGAGAGACGAAGGTTGCAGTAAGCTGAGATCGAGTCACTGCGCTCCAGTCTGGCGATGGAGCGAGACTCAGTCTCTTTTGCCCAGGCTAGAGTGCAGTGGTGCGATCTCAGCTTACGGCAACCTTTGCCTCCTGGGTTCAAGCGATACTGCCTCAGCCTCCCAAGTAGCTGGGATTATAGGTGTGAGCCACCGTGCCTGGCTACTCCATCTCCAAAAAAAAAAAAAAGGGGGAAACAGCTGACACAGGAAGAGCATCTAAGAAATTCTAACATTGCCAGGCGCAGTGGCTCAAGCCTGTAATCCCAGCACTTTGGGAGGCCGAGGCAGGTGGATCACGAGGTCAAGAGATCGAGACCATCCTGGTCAACATGGTGAAACTCCGTCTCTACTAAAAATACAAAACATTAGCTGGGCATGGTGGTGCGTGCCTGTAATCCCAGCTACTCAGGAGGTTGAGGCAGGAGAATTGCCTGAACCCAGGAGGCGGAGGTTGTGGTGAGCCAAGATTGCACCATTGCACTCCAGCCTGGGTAACAAGAGTGAAACTCCGTCTCAAAAAAAAAAAAAAAAAAAAAAAAGAGATTCTAACATTTCGGCCTGGCATGGTGGCTCATGCCTATAATCCCAGGACTCTGGCACTTTGGGAGGCCAAGCCAGGAGGATCATGAAGTCAGGCAATTGAGACCATCCTGGCTAACACGGTGAAACCTCGTCTCTACTAGAAATACAAAAAAATTAGCTGGGCATGGTGGCATGCGCCTGTAGTCCCAGTTACTTGAGAGGCTGAGGCAGAAGAATTGCTTGAACCTGGGAGGCAGAGGTTGTGGTGAGCCAAGATTGCGACATTGCACTCCAGCCTGGCAACAGAGCAAGACTCTGTCTCAAAAAAAAGAAAAAGAAAAAGAAAATAAATTCTAACATTTCATGATTAAACATATATTAAAACTATGAAAAGCAGGAAATTGCCTCAACATTATAAAAGGTATTTGTGAAAAACCCACAATTGTCATCAAACTTAATGGTGAAAGGCTAAACGCTTTCCCCCGAAGATCAGGAATGAGACACAGAAGTTCACTTTTACCACTGCTACTCAGCATTTTACTGGAAGTTGTAGCCAGACCATTTAGGTAAGAAAAAGCAATAAGAGGCACCAAATCGGGAAAGAAGAAATAAAACTATTTCTATAAATATAGAAAATCCGAAAGAATACACTCACAAAAATTACTAGAACTAATCAGCAAATTCAGCAAAGTTTCAGGACACAAGATCAACTCACAAAAACCAGTTGTGTTTTGTTGTTGTATTTTGAGGAGTTTTGCACTTGTTGCCCAGGCTGGAGTGCAATGATTCAATCTTGGCACACTGCAACATCCACCTCCTGGGTTCAAGTGATTCTCCTGCCTCAGCCTCCCAAGTAGCTGGGATTACAGGTGCCCACCACCATGCCGGCTAATTTTTGTATTTTTAGTAGAGACAAGCTTTCACCATGTTGGCCAGGCTGGTCTGAAACTCCTGACCTTGGGTGTTCTGCCCGCCTAGGCCTCCCAAAGTGCTGGATTACAGGCGTGAGCCACTGTGCCCAGTTCAGTTGTGTTTTTATACACTAGCAAGGAGCAATTCAAAAATGTAATTAAGCAAACAGCTGGGCGTGGTGGCTCACGCCTGTAGTCTCACCACTTTGAGACGCCTAAGCAGGTGGATCCCTTGAGCACAGGAGTTCAAGACCAGCCTAGACAATGTGGTGAAACCTCCTCTCTACAAAAAATACAAAAAATTAGCCGGGTGTGATGGCATGTGCCTGTAGTCCCAGCTACTCAGGAGCCTACGTGGGAGGATCACCTGAGCCCTGGAGGTCAAGGCTGCAGTGAGCCGTCAGGCATCATTGCACTCCAGCCTGAAAAAGAAGTGAAATTCTGTAAAATGTTACAACATGAATGAACCTTGAAAACATAATTCTAAGTGAAATGAGCCAGATTTAAAAAAATGATATTGCATGTTTCCACTTATAGAAGTACCTACAAGAATCAAATTCATAGAGACAGAAAGTAGAATAGTGGTTAAAAGGGTCTGGGCAGAGGGAGGAAATGGAAGTTTGTTTTATGGGTATGGAGTTTCAGTTTGGGATGTTGAAAAAATTCTGGAGATAAATAATGGTGACGGTTACATGCGATTGGTTACATGAATGTACTTAATGCATTCACATAATTGTATATGTGAAAAATGGTTAAAATGGTACATTTTATGTCTATTTTATACCATCCCCCCTAGAAAAATTGTTATTAAGTCACAAGATCTCGCTCTTTCTCCCAGGCTGGGGTGCAGTGTGGCAATCATAGCTCATTGCAGCTTCGAACTCAGCCAGTTTCCCTGGCTCAAGCGATCATCCCTCTTCAGCCTCCTGAGTAGCTGGGACTACAGGCGGTGCCACCACGCCCAGCTCAGTTTTGATTCCCGCCCCACCTCCCGGTAGAGACGGGATCGCGCTATATTGCCTAGGGTGGTCTCAAACTCACAGAACAAAGGATCCTCCCTCCTGGGCCTCATTGTGGGCTCTCAAAACGCAGAGATTACCGGATTACAGGCGGGGTCACCACACCAGGAGCAAACACGGCCCGTTTTAAAAATTCAGGTTGTGATTGGCTGTCAATCAGCATTATGCTAATTAAGCACGCCTATTTTTTCAACTTTTTAAATTTAAACAATTTTTTAAAAATTACATTTCCACTTAAACTTTAAAATGTGTTGTCAAGTGACTGACAGTATTTGAAAAGATGATATTGCCAATCTGTTTTTCTATTTATTTCCCAATGGAATCTGAAAGTGAAAGTATCTCGCCATCAGTGCAAAGTGTGCGGTGGATGTAGTCCCGGTGGAGGCTATGGGCAGGAAAGCAAGACTATACTTTCAGGGATCATTTCTATAGTTTGTTACTAGAGAAGTTTCTCTGAACGTGTAGAGCACCGGAACCCACGAGGAAGAGACGTAGTGTTCTCTCTTGAGCGTGAAGCTGACTTTTGGTGTTGTATGTGTGCAACTACCATTTGTCATTGATGATCGTTCTTTTTTCCACTTTGGGAAGTAAGAGGGAGAGAACACTGTCTGAGTGGATTCCTTCTATGTATGGTTTAAAGTAAGTTAAGTGATTCATTAATTTTTTCGGAGTTTTTTAGCCAGTTGTTTTAGTTTTGCATTAAAGTTTTCTCTTGGTGTTCTCAGATATTATCAGTCTTGGGGTTAACAAACAGGGTTTTGTGCTATGTCCTACTTCTACTATATGAAAAATAGCTGAAAGTGTGTGTGTCTGTGTGTCTCTGTGTGTGTGTGTGTGTGTGTGTGTGTGTGTGTGAGATACAGGGTTTCACCACCTTGGCCAGGCTGATCTTACACTCCTGATCTGGTAATCCACCTGCCTGGGCCTCCCAAAGTGCTGCGATTACAGGTATAAGCCACTGCGCCCAGACAAATTTTTAAAAATATTAAAAAATATATTTTGTGAAATCTTTAAGCATATAGCCAGGTATGACTTATCAAATTCATTAAATAAAGGAAAAACTGCAAGATACCACTACTGGCTAGACATTTGTTCAAGGTTAGCTACTGCCTGTAAGGCTGAGGTTAGGTTCTACTCTCAACCGGTAGAATATCACACGTGTGGTCAAATAAGCCTTGAAAATCCCTCCAGTCACTCAGAAGTCACTCGGAGTCACTCAGAAACATGACTGTTTAAAAACACACTATCTCTCAGTAAGTCTCATACGTTCACTTTCCCTCCAGCATTTCATAGTTGGCTCCTTCTTTAGTTACACTGCAGGTGAAATAGCTGCTTCATGTTTAGGGGCCACATTTAAAACAAAAATGAAGCATGTGTTTTAACTGCCCCCACCACACAAAATTATAATAGATAATTTCACTGAAACAAGTATGTGTATGATATGACTCCACAGTATATGCCAGGCATGGTTCCATGTGTCTAAAGTTATCTAACTTAATTTCCCACAAAACTTCCACATATTATCCTTTATTTAGGAGAAAAATTTGACAACGGCCACGTGGTTCATACATAATGAATATGGGATACAAATACAGCTCTATTAGGCCATGCTTTCTCAAATTGTCTATAGTGCATGAGAGTTCTGTGAGAGTTATACCAGGTTCTAAAAATAATACTAATAGTATTTCTTCTTAAAATTTGTTTTAAGCATATTTAAGAAAAAATACTCTCAATTTTATTTCAGTGTTAATTTTTATACAGTAATCTGCTCTTACGAGGTGGCAACCCACACCTGAGAATGACAGTTAAGAGGCCAGACCACCCAATGCTGTGTCACACACAGCAGATGACGTGCACCTTATAAGCAGGCAGTGTCTCCATGGAGCACAGCAAGATGCCTGGCCCTCCTCACTGAACGCCAGTTTGCCTTCTATGTCTTACCATGTCATTTAAGCACATACACATATATGTCTGTAATTACTTTCCCTTGAAACTTTTATTTAACCTCTCCAATTTGTTGCTTTCTTTGTTATGTCAGGGAATAGAGTCTTCGAATGTCAGTGATTGTTTATCGCATTGTAAGTATAGGCTGATACAAAAGTAATGGCAAAAATTACTTTTGCATCAACCTATCCTTCCTCAAGACACCCCTTTATGTTGCCATTTATTCTGACCCAGGCACAGGTGATCTCATGTATATGATGATTTTTTTTTTTTTTTTTTTTGAGACAGAGTCTTGCTCTGTTGCCCAGGCTGGAGTGCAGTGGCGCAATCTCACTTCACTGCAACCTCCGCTTCCCAGGTTCAAACAGTTCTCTGCCTCAGCCTCCTGAGTAGCTGGGATTAAAGCCACTTGACACCACACCGGGCTCATTTGTGTATTTTTAGTAGAGACGGGGTTTCACCATCTTGGCCAGGCTGGTCTTGAACTCCTGACCTTGTGAGCCACCCGCCTAGGCCTCCCAAAGTGCTGGGATTACAGGCATGAGCCACGGTGCCTGGCCGTACATGATGATTTTTAAAGTATTCAAAGGTTAACTGTTTGGAAAGCATTGCATGGCACCACTGCTACCTTCACAACAAGTAGAGTGGTATTTGTGAAGAGGGCAGGTTGTGTCAACCACATGCTCATGCCTGCTGGTCTCTTTCCTGAACACCAGGACGAAGCCCAGCCCACCTTTCGGTTGACCTCCCAAGACTCCCCTCTGCCCATCTAGTTTTTGGACTGTAGCCTTGCCCACCTGAAGTTGCCTTTTTTTTTTTTTTTTACTTCTATGTCTTGCCTCTGTGCCTTTGCTCATTCTATGTCCTTGCCTGGAGTGTAATTTTCTCTAAATACTTATTGTTTTGCACAAAACAAATCTAAGAGAAATTTGACACTCTCATCATGAGACAGAAATTATGAAGTACTCTGTGTTGCAAGTGTCAAACAGTATTTTCCGAATTTCACTTTCAAATTTCATTATAAATATATACAACAACAAAATCAAACAGGATAAGATGGCAATTTGACCATGAGCATCTTAATCCACAAATCCCAACAAAAAGAATCTAAGACACAATAAAAATCTTGTAGTCCAATATCATTTACAGGCTTAGACTTTGAATAATTTCTACTGAGAGAAAGTAAGAGAAAATGGAAAGAAAATACACGGCTTTACCCCAATTCTCTTCCAAAGAAAAAGGAGATATGGGAAACCCTCCACTAATGTCCCCCACCCTAGAGGGCCAGGGCTGAAGAGGAGCACAAGAAGCCCAGAGATACGCAGAGCATTCTGGCAAAGCATCAGGAACAAGAAGATTTGACATCTGAGGAGGCCAAGGCTGGGTTACCCCAAGGACAAAGGACAGTAGTAACAAGGTGCAGGGCAGGAACAGCCACAGTGTGCACCTAAAATGGATGAGGGGCATACAAATCCAGAGAGCTGGCTCTGCATTCCAGGCTCTCCAAGCAGAGAAGAAACTGGGCAGAGGTGAATTTCTCCACCAGGCACTTATGCTTCTCCACTCTACCTGTGCCTCTGTACCTCCCAACATGTAATATAAATGTACCTTCAAGAGCCTTCCAGCATGTTTAAGTCATGAGAAGATGATCCGAAGCATTGTCAGGCAAAGGCAGAGGATCTGAGCAGAATCCGGATACTGACTTGGGGCAAATGTCAGGCGCTGCCACACCTCAATCTGCTTCAGCAAGAGAGGATGACAGGCAAAATCATGTCCTACTTGATGTAAATATTTCATAATACAAAGTGAAGGGGAAAATGCACTCAAGAGAGAACAGACATTTGTAAATCTGTGACCGAAAACAGAGTTTGACACTGATAGCATCTACTTTAAAATTAAAGTAAAAAGGCTGGGCACAATGGCTCATGCTGTAATCCCAGCACTTTGGGAGGCTGAGGCAGGTGGATCACCTGAGGTCAGGAGTTTGAGACCAGCCTGTCCAACACGCTGAAATCCCATCTCTACTAAAAATACAAAAAATTAGCCAAGTGTGGTGGTGCACACCTGTAGTCCCAGATATTCGGGAGGCTGAGGCAGAATTGCTTGAATCCAGTAGGCGGAGGTTGCAGCAAGCTGAGGTTGCACTGCTGCACTCCAACCTGGGCGACAGAGCGAGGCTGTGTCTAAAAATAAATAAATAGATAGATAGATAAATAAAACGAAGGATGAAAATTTAAAATAAAAAATATAGGTTTTGCTGGACTCAGCTGGTTGCCTCCAGTTACTGCGGAGGCGACTCACTTCATTCCAACTTCCTGATACTTTGCTTCTGGAGGTCATATTTCTCTAAAATCTTCCAGAAAAAAGTCTTAAGGCTACCATAGCCTTTTTTCCAGTCCAGGTCTTAAATTTTTTCCTCCTCTTCCCCAATAATAACATGAGTATGGATCCAGTTTGTTCACAAAGCCTGCCTCGCTCCAAAGCATCTGACTGTGGAGAATCTTCACCTACGCCTGTGATTTGTGAGCCTGAAGAAAATTATCCATCCTTGCAAATATGTTCTGCTGAGATGCCTCACACAGAGACTGTGTCCCCTCTTCCTTCCTCCATGGATCTGCTTATTCAGGACAGCCCTGATTCTTCCACCAGTCCCAAAGGCAAACGACCCACTTGCTGCAGTGAGTAGCGCCACAGCAAAGGAAGACAAGGTCCCCGTCAAGAGACAGAAAACCAGAACTGTGTTCTCTTCCACCCAGCTGTGTGTACTCAATGATAGATTTCAGAGACAGAAATACCTCAGCCTTCAGCAGATGAAAGAATTTCCCAGCATCCTGAACCTCAGCTACAAACAGGTGAAGACCTGGTTCCAGAACCAGAGAATGAAATCTAAGAGGTGGCAGAAAAACAACTGGCCAAGGAATACCAGTGATGCGACTCAGAAGGCCTCAGCACCCACCTACCCCAGCCGCTACTCTTCCTACCACCAGGGATGCCTGGTGAACACAACTGGGAACCTCCCGGTATGGAACCACCAGACCTGAAGCAATTCAACCTGGAGCAACCAGACCTGGGACATCCAGTCCTGGAGCAATCACTCCTGGAACACTCAGACCTGGTGCACCCAGTCCTGGAACACTCAGGCCTGGAGCAGTCCCTTCTATAACTGTGGAGAGAAACCTCTGCAGCCCTGCATGCAGTTCCAGTCAAATTCTCCTGCCAGTGACTTGGAGGCTGCCTTGGAAACTGCTGGGGAAAACCATAATGTAATACAGCAGACCACTAGGTATTTGAATACTCCACAAACCATGGATTTATTCCTAAACTACTCCACCAACATGCAACCTGAAGATGTGTGAAGACGAATGAAACTGACATTACTCAGTTTCACTCTGGACACTGGCTGAATCCTTCCTCTCACCTCCTCCCCTTCCTCATAGGATTTTTCTTGTTTGGAAACCATGTGTTCTGTTTACATTATGTCTATCCAGTCAATCTGAATGCAGGGTGGGGTATGGTTGGAGGCTAATCAGAGAGGATTCTTTGTTTTTTCCTGTTGGATCTTACAGGGGAAAAGACATTTTAACAACCTTGGCTACTAAGGACACTGTGATACAAGCTGTCTCTGGCTATAGATAAGTAGATCTAATACTAGTTTGGATATCTTTAGGGTTTAGAATCTAACCTCAAGAATAAGAAATAAAGTATAAATTGGTGTGAAAAAAATATTAAAATAATTACAATATATAAATCAAAAATAATATGAGCACTGTGATAACCCAGGAAACATAAATGGGCCTTGTGGGATATGCTCACATCCAGACTCACGAGGCCGGAGACATTGGGGGAGGATAAGAAAGCGCTTGTAGGCGGAAAGTCCTCTAGGAACACGTGAAGGAAGCTTCGCCTGCACCTGGGACACGCTCCTCTGATGCTGGTCTGGAAGCAGGCAAGCTGCACAAGCTTCTGGTCCATGATGACCACTGTACAGAGCAGCACCACAGCCCAGCCACCATGATGAGAAAATGGCGGAGTGGGCCGTCCCCTCCCTTTTATAAAGGCTGTACTCAACTGCTATATCCTGGAAGCCTGGTTCTGATTGCATGAGCGGGAACCTTTTTGACAACTCTTATTGGATAACAATCTCTATCTCTGGTTGGATAATCTTAACCAATCAGAGTTGGAGACTATTATTATCCAATCTGTGTTGTGGTACAGAGTCTGCTCTCATCCTATCAGAAGGAGGCTTCCAGGGTACCTCATTTGAATAAAGGGAGGCAAAGCTGCACACTTGCCTGGGGGTGCAGCTCACGCCAAGGCTTGACCCCTCGTTTATGCAGAGACCTGCCTTGTAGACCAGCCATAGAGAAGGATGTCTCGGGTGCAGGCGAAGTTTTTTCATGTGTTCCTGGAGGATTCTTCTTGTGGCAAGCGCTTTCCCATCCTCCAACATCTCAGGCCTGGTGAGGCTGGAGGTGACCATTTCCTGTGGGGGCTCACAGCACAGAGGGATGCAAAGGAGGGTGGATGCAGGGGAAACCGGCACAGAGAGATGTGAAGGGGAGGGTATAGGGAGGGGAAACCCGCACAGAGAGATGTGATGGAGGGGTAACGTGGGCAGGGCCTAGAGTGAATCAGTTTGCCTGTTTCACTAGGCGCCCCCGCCCTGGTGCAAGGCAGAGGCTGGCCAGGCCCTCACCCAGCAGCGCTCCTAGGTTCTGGCCCTGGCATCTAGTCCCATCTCACCACCCTCCGCGGCTCCACTGTCCCTCAGGCAGGAGCTTCCAGCTGCAGTGAGCAGTGGAGGCAGTAGCTGTTGCTCCCTGGATGCCCGGGGTGTATTTCTTTGGCTTTTTTCTTCTTCTACCTTATTTTAGATTCAGAAGGTACACATGCTTGTTACATTTGTAGTACATGAAGAATGGTGGGGGTTAGGTTTCTAGTGTACCCATCACCCAAATATTGAAGGTTGTACCCAATAGGTAGGTTTTCAAACCTTCTCCCCAACTTTTTGAGGCCCCAGAGTGTATTTTCTCTATCTTCATGTCCACTCTTCCCCACTGTTTTCACTTAATACATGAGAACATGCAACATTTGGCTGTTTCTGCATTAATTCACTTAGGATAATGACCTTCGCCTGCATCTGTATTGCTGCAAAGGACCCGACTTTGTTCTTTTTTATGATTTTGTTCTTAGTATTCCGTGGTAGGCAGAATACTGGGCAGTCGCTTGAGGAGGCCGCCGACGGCAAAGGGAAGCCACAGGCGGGGCCCGGTCGACCTGCTGGCGCTGCCGCAGCCTCGCAACCTCCCCGACTGCCGCGTGAGCCCTTGCCACCTGCGTTAGGAAGTGATACCCATGCAAGGCCACGGAGTCCGATGAGCTCTTCGCGCCGCCACCCGGGACGCTGGCCTGGGCGCACAAGCTCCGAGAGCGCCCCACGCTGCGAAAGCCTTGGAGCCCCGGCTTTGCCTGCCGCCCACCTCCCAGGATGCCCTGCAGAGCCACCCGGCCTGCCCTCCCCTGCCCCCTCTCCAGGCGACACCCCGGTGGCACAGAAGCCCGAGGCTTTCGTGCACGTCGCGCAGGTATTGGGGTGCAGAAGTGCCTGGACCGGCCGCTGCGGGACCGGCCGCTGCTGGGAGGACCTGCCGCGCAGTCTGCAGAAAACCGGGCGGTGTCGCCCGCCCCAGACCCTCCATGCTGCAGAGCCTGTCTGGGTCTATTCAATGGGCCCTTGCAGGGCCGTTCTTTCCTGCACTTGGACTGGTCTGCCTGGGGTCCCCCGGGAAGCTTCGGGCCCCAGATACAGGCAGGACCTCCAGCCGCGCCTTTGTCTTCTTTCTCTTGGTGCATTAGACAGCATAGGACGCTTCCCTGGCCTGGCTCCCTCTCCCTCGCACTCACCAGCAGCCTGCAGACGGGACACTGCAGACTGCAGCAGAGTGGTCTGGATAGCCTTGGTTCCTCTCTGGGCCCCGGGCTCCAGGAGCGAAAGGCTGAAGGCTGCAGGCTGCTTCCGAGACCAAGGCCCCGGGCACTGTTTCAGGCTCCTGCGTCCCACCCTCAATGGAGGGGCCGCTCATCAAGCCCTCCACTCCCCGGGTGCCACCCGCACTGGACAAAGACCACCAGCACCTTATCCTGACCCGGCTTACCGAGCACTGCGTCCCCTGTGTGGTGGACAGGGACTGTTACTGTGGCTGGGGAAGCTGCCCTGAAGCTCCGAGGCCTGCCTCTGACCCTCAGCCCTGGGAGCTCAGGGTCCCCTCGCACCTGGGGGGTTCGTGCCCAGCCACCTGATGCCCCCTGCTGCCTGTTTTCAGAGGTCATTACCCGCCCCAACACACACACTCTGCAATGTCGTTAATGATACTCTTGTGGGAAGTCTGACTTACTTTGAAAATTTAACTCAGTTGTAAGGCATTAAACGTATTCAGTGTTCTGTTCAGTCCCTGTCTTTCTCACACCAGTATTCCTGTGTTTCGCTGGTAAAAATATAACAATTGTCTCCGTGGCTGTTAAAAGCAATACGTTAAAATAACTTAATTTTCACCGGATCAACAGACAAATTTTCCGGTGCATGCAGAGCTCTTCCACTTTTGAAAGGGAGCCTTATTAAAATTCATTACATCATATATTGAAACCAAAATGTCTAGAGTGTGACTCATAAAGTAAGCCAAAAAATTATGTCTTAAGTAGCAGATAAACAAATCCCATATTTTATCCAACTAACCCTGTGGTTACCTAGATTTTACAACATATAATGTCTTATACTGAAAACATGAAGCTCATGATATTGCAGCTAATACATATTTGTCCACAAACAATATGTAATACGTGGTTGCTTGCTTGGCTGTTGTGTTATGGCTCTCGTGGGATTCTGTGCTTTTAATTTTGGCATGGTAGTTTTAAGTTACATTTGAAATATAAGTTTTAAAGGGTAATGCTATGCATATTGGATTCCTACAACAATGCTCACGGACTTTTGTAATTAATGGGTTTAATCCTCCTTAATAGAGTGTACCATTTTACCTATATTATTTGTAACTATGAAGATGTTAAACCCTTTTATACTAATTGTCTTTCTTTAAAAACAAAACGTGTTCCAAATGAAATATATCTTAACACTATTTCAAATCATACAGCAAATTAGGATTTTAAACATGAAGACACATTTTGACAAGTATTTTCAACTAAGCAGCAAATTTTAGTTGATATAAACATTGGGAGTTACTAGGTCTTATTCTTTTCATAATAAATACATATTTTAAAAGGCTGGTTATTTGTAGCCATTCTGAATGAATTAAAAAGTTTAATCCAGGCCGGGCGCGGTGGCTCACGCCTGTAATCCCAGCACTTTGGGAGGCCGAGGCAGGTGGATCACGAGGTCAAGAGATCGAGACCATCCTGGTCAACATGGTGAAACCCCCGTCTCTACTAAAAATACAAAACATTAGCTGGGCATGGTGGCGCGTGCCTGTAATCCCAGCTATTGAGGAGGTTGAGGCAGGAGAATTGCCTGAACCCAGGAGGTGGAGGTTGCGGTGAGCTGAGATCGCGCCATTGCACTCCAGCCTGGGTAACAAGAGTGAAACTCCGTCTCAAAAAAAAAAAAAAAAAAGAGTTCATGAAATCATAGCTTGTGAGATTACTGCATTTCCTTTAGTTTTTTCCCCTCGTGCATCATTTTATTAGCATCTATGTATGTAATTGAATGGCAATATAAAAAAACTAATGAAACATTTTCAGCAGAATAGTATAAAGTCTCTTAAATTTAATTGCTCTTTAATATTGCTAATATGTGGTAGAAATGTAACTACTTAACTTTCACCCAGTTTGCAAATGTTAAACCATCAGCATTTCAAAGATTAGGGCAACCAATATGATGTCATTGTACTGTCAACTTGTGAAGAGATGGTCACTAACAGCTCCCCCAACCAGTCTCAGCTGGCTTTACCATATCACTGCAGTGAGACCTTTGAGTTACTCTCAAATGTTTGCTATGAAAAGTTCACATTTTACAGTGAACGTGTTTATGCAACCACTATCCTCTCTGGGAATTTTTGGTAGTAAAGATTGAAAACAACACAATTCTTGAAAGTCAATTTGCTGGCCAGGTACAGAGGCTCAGGCCTGTAATCCCAGCACTTTGGGAGGCTGAGGCAGGCAGATCACAAGGTCAGGAGTTCAAGACCAGTCTGGCCAACATGGTGAAACCCCCTTCTCTACTAAAAAAAAAATTAGCTGGGCATGGTGGTACTCACCTGTAACCCCAGCTACTTGGGAGGCTGAGGCAGGAGAACTGCTTGAACCAGGACCCAGGAAACGGAGATTACAGTGAGCCAAGATTGTGCCACTGCACTCCAGCCTGGGCTACAGAGCAAGACTCCGTCTAAAAAAAAAAAAAAAGAAAAAGAAAGAAAATTTGCTTTCCATAGGGTTGTGCCAAAAATAACAAAGAGATATGAAATTATACTAATTAATGGCTATTCAAATTATATGTAATGAATCATGAATCATTTCCTTCTTTTTGTTTTTTTTGGGGGTGGGGAGCCTCTACCTAACTTTCAGAGGAATTACCTTCTTTTTCTTTTGGTCTGGAAATACCACACTGCTTGATAAAATTTGTAAAAGTCTGTTTACTTGAGGAATTATTTTATTATTTCTGCATTACTCTATACATTGATAAATGATTCCTCAACTACTTATTTGTATCAAATTTTTTTTTTTTTTTTTTTTTTGAGATGGAGTCTCGCTCTTGTGTCCCAGGCTGGAGTGCAATGGCGGGATCTCAGCTCACCGCAACCTCCGCCTCCTGGGTTCAGGCAATTCTCCTGCCTCAGCCTCCTGAGTAGCTGGGATTACAGGCATGTGCCACCATGCCCAGCTAATTTTTTGTATTTTTTGTAGAGACGGGGTTTCACCATGTTGACCAGGATGGTCTCGATCTCTTGACCTCGTGATCCACCCGCCTCGGCCTCCCAAAGTGCTGGGATTACAGACTTGAGCCACCGCGCCCGGCCTTGTATCAAATTTTATGTCCCTTTCTTCTTAGTCATCATTCAGTTTCCTCCTACTATTAATAGATTAATGATTAATTTAAAATTTTATTCAAATAATCAAGACTGTAAGTGTCCATATCATAAATGCAAATATGTTCATGAATCAAATTAAATTTGCCTGGTTAGCAGGATCCCAGGCTGAGAAACAGAACATTATCT